CGGCCGTGTTTTATTCTGTTAGTTTTAATTTCCAAACCGACCCAGTTCCCGTTACTCTGCCTTGTCTTTCTCTGCCGACCAACTACAGGTCAGGTCAAGATGGTGACTGTCAACACGCACCGTTCCGGTTACGTTTTCAAAATAAGATGGACACAAGGTTGTTATATTGATCTTTTAGTTAATTCTATCATTATTATCAGAACAAAATACTAGCTGTGAATAATTTAAAATGTGCACTGCAATTCAAAAATTATTTTACTTCATTAGACAAATATACGAACAGGAATCTCTAAACTTGTGTTTGCATGTTTTGATACGATTGTAAAATAATTATGGTTTGGCTTTCTATCACATCATAGCTTTTATGTTTTATGTTACTGTATACTATAAATGTGTTATTTTAAGGAGAAAAAGAGAGATATGACTATGTTGTGTCAACATTTCAACTAATTTTCCATAGGGTTGATACAATTGAAACAAAAATCTCACATTTTCCATAGGGTTGATACAATTGAAACAAAAAATCTCACTTTAAGTAGCCAACGTAATACAACTTTAAAATAATGGTGTTCCAGCCTAAATTAAATCATTAAAATGCGTTTTTTCTTTGAGGGAAAATTAAACAATTATTTTTTCAAAGCAACATCGCCTAACTTCCGGTCTTCTTCACGTATTTTATTTGCGCTTGATGCAGCAGCTCTACCTCCCATTCATCCAGCACCCCCCATCCCCCACATGTCCTGTCCGGATTCAATCAGCGCTGATTTCAGTCACCACAGCTGCTGTTGTATCGGCTGTCAATACTGTTGAGTGTAGCTACACATTAAGGTAATCGATAACGGTGAGCAAAAGATCCATAGCGCCTGTTAGTCAACTTTATAATTACTCTTTTAGATAGGCCTATTCTGTCGTAGGCTATCTCCAAGTTCATTAACCTCTTCTCTCGGATTTAATTACTTTGATTCTAAGGTTTATACAACTAAAATGGGATTTTATATATCTATATAAATAGAATTTCAAAAGTACATCTGGCTCTGCTGTAAAAACAAAACGGTGTCACAAATGGCTGGTTTACATGACAATTAAACATACCCTTAATATAATTAGCACTATCTGGACAATTTGGTTAATGGAAATCTAACTCATTAGCATTGTTTAGGACTCAACTATCACCACCAATAACAATTATTCAGTAGGCTATCCACTAATCTGCACATTTCTTACATTAATCAAAGTCAAAAGTAATATATTTAAATGTCTTGTTTTGTAATTTAAACACCTCTAACATTTTCACATTAGCTGGCTCATACATTAACAGTTTGTGTCTCTCAGATGAAATCCCTAGTTTGACTAGCCTTAGTATAAACCTACTCTGACACCCTTTCCTGTATCTAGACACTGAATTAATTGGAACAGATTGGAACGGTTCAAGGAGATTTTCTAGGATTAAGAACCCATATTTAATATTATCCTCTTGATCCTGGAGAATTGTTTGGGTAAGGTTGGATGCTGTATCATCAGATACTGCTTTTATATTTGATGCTGAATTTTTTAATGCAAATTGACTGTGTGCTGTAAATCAAATGATTATTTTTTACCTCTCCCAATTTTCTTTAAATTAATGACATTAACCTAATCTGGTTCACAGTTGATTTATTTCACCAGGCTGTCTTTCAATTCTCCTTCTGATCAAAGTCATCACAGATTAAATGCTTATATTCTGTATTACTTAGCCATTGTGACTGTGTGTCGCCCAAATAATCTGGCTTTTCCATGTGGGTCAAATTGTGTTGGAAACTGTTGACATCGTTGGATAAACAAGTCAGACACTAAAGAAAAAGTATTGTATCTTGACGGCATTATTTATACTCCAGTAGTCTTTTTTAATCAAACTTTTGGAATTTAGATTCTTAATAGTGCAGTAATAGTGTAAATATGCATAAACATGTTTTTGATTCAATGAGCTGCACACTATCCCCTTCTATTGAATAGATTGAGTCACTGCAGCCAAGGGTTGTTCGAAAGACTGTCGGAGAAACAGAGGCAACTCGTGACGAAAGAAGGACAAATTATACGTGAGTATTTCTGTACACAGAGGAGGAGAAAGAGACAGGAAATGTGAGGTTGATGTAATAGTGGATGGGGGATGGAGGATGGGAGGCAGAGGGCACAGACAGGATTAAAGAACACCATCTGTCCACTGAGATCCTTCAGCCAGCACACAAAACATCCCAGGTCAAAATAGCACCAGGAGTTTTGCTACACTGTGTGCAAAAACAGTCTGAAATACACCCATTCAGTTAAATATTGATGAAACCTCGTCCTCAGAAAACCATCTCCTCTAACACAGCAGACAAATACATTGTATTTGTTAAGGATTGGGTCATAGAGGCAATACCCAACAGTTGTTTTTGCTGAAGTTAATAATATGAACTCACACTGACACCCCAGTTGAGACCCCTTTTGCATTTGTTTCCCCTCAATACTCAATTCATTTCATGGTCAGTCAATGTTTTGGGATTTTTTTCCCACATTGTGTTGAGGTTTTGGACAATGCAACTACAGTTTAAATTTTTTTTCAATTTTTCTTTTTTTCTTCTTTATTTATTTGGGGTCACATCATATTAAAAGTACAGTTTTTCAAATCATATATTTTTAGAGACCCGAAAATGACAAATGAAATAGCAAACAAAATTTGTCAAAATAAAATAAAAACGAAAAAGTACACAGGGGTTGTTTGAAATAGCAAATGTCTACATATGTACATATCAACCTACATATATACATACAATACACATACACACATACATGTGTCCATACATACACACCTATACATATACATTCAATCGGTGTATAGAAACACAGTCAAACTGCTGTTTGATGGTCGTCTTTGGGATATGTAAATTCTAAATTTTTTCCATATTTCCTCAAATGTGTTTTCCTGAAGCCTCATTGAGAAGGTGATTCTTTCCATAACATAAATTTCATGGATTTTGTCGTACCAGTTGTCAAGGGAATGGATGTCCGCTTTGAGCCATTTTCTAGTTATTACTTTGTTTGCTGCAACAGTAAGAATTCCAAATAATTGTTTTGTTTTGAGGTTTGTGGGGATTGAATGTACGAGCCCAAACAGAGATTCGTCCCAGTTTAATGTGATTTTTTTCCTGTAGTACCATTTCTATTTCTAAATGGATCTTTTGCCAAAAAGTTACTATTAAAGGGCAAACCCAAAACAAATGGTAGTGATGTGCTAAAGTAACTGAGAACCACATTTCCTCCTTAAATTATTTTCCAACTCGTATTATCATATATATCTGAGCTCTAAATAAATAAAATCTCTTTTATCTAACAGAAGTGATCATATTTAAGATTTCCATTTGCAGGACCCCTTGATAAAGTGCATCCAAAGTCAACGACACAGGCTAAAGAGACAACCCGAACTCTATTCAAAAATGTATTTCTTTATCAACAAACACAGGTACGAAATCACAAGTCATAAATCCTTAAAGACTTTCATGATTTATATCCAGCTTATAATTTCCATATATAAAACCTTCGGACTGAAAAAAAAAAACCCTGATTTACAAGAGAAATGAAGGAAAATGCTTTGTAAATACTTTTTTCTGCAACTAGCAGGAGTCTGTGCTGTGTCACTAATCGACTGGTAAACAGCTTATTCAGTCTGAGCCTGCTCGACTCACTCCATCACAAGACTGCTGTCAGCAGACCGTCCGGCCCTCATGTCTTCCATTACGCCCTAAAGTATAATTCAGTTAAACTGCTCACTCTCCACTGAGTCTCTGTCACGCTCTCTTTCTCTCTCTGCTTTCTTCCTCTTTCGGAGATGCTGACTCCATTTACAGTGTGCTGACTTTAGTGCCTTCTGTCTCTTCCGACTGCTCAGCTGCTGCCTCATACACAACACATAAACCCCTGACCAAATATATATCAAGTCAAAAAATCGTACAAGATCATAGAGAACAACACTGTAGCCAGAGTTGTAAAAATACTGAGATTATACCTACAATTTACCCCCTGCCCCAACAAAGCTCTTAGTGAATGGTGCAATAAAATGCCATCTTTTCATATTATGTTCTGAATAGCGTAAAAAAATAAAGTAAAAGTTAATGTAATAATCCTCTAATAAATCACAATTCTCGCAGACTTTCTATTTGATATTCCTTTGTGTTTGTTTAGCACATTTACATCTGTCCCTAACCCACGCTAAAACCCTTATATGTCAAACTAAACAAAGCCTAAAGCTACAAGGAACCCAAAACAGTAAATTACCAAATAGATATAAACTGAAATGACCACCTCCTGGTTGTATGCACAGCCAACCAGTCATGATGCAGTTTACGTCCATGTCTGTCGAAAATGTGTTGACTTTGAAACTGTCATAATCCCCGTAAAATTCTTAAAATATGTCCCAGAACTAGTTTTCTGAGGTTGACCTTTGACTCCCACATTTGAACCACTTTTATTACTTGAGTCCAAGAGGAAGTTTTTGCCACATTTGAAATAAAGTTGTTTCTAAGATATTGTGATAATGAAAATGGGATGAACATAGTTATGGACAAGCTGAAAAAATAAAGCATTAAAAAAAACACAAAACTAGTATAGTTTAGATATAAGACATATTGTTTCACGAAAGATAAACACACTACTGTAAATAAACCTTCTCAATTATACTTGTCTTGGTCTATTTCTTAGTCTGTCAAATTGCCCGGGTAGATTGCATTTACTATTCCAGGAGGAAAATAATCATGTCAAAGCCAAATCTTCCTTCTTGTGTCATCATAGCATATGAACTCTCTTTGTTATTAAAACCCCCAATTCACATTAATATTACTGAGGACATTTCTTTGGTGTGTCTTCACTTGAACATCCTTTCCTGTGAGGTCAGCTGATCCTAATATCCACTCTAAATTACATCAGAAGTTTTAGGGAGGAGACACTGAGTAACATGGGCAAAACGTACAAGGCAGGACCAAGAGTGACATAAAGAGAGACTCAAACAGCTTTACTTAAAATACAGTGGAAGAAAAAGACGAGGGTGTGGGTTTAGACTTCCAGACGGAAATTAATTCAATTTAGGAATGTGTTGTGGGACGTATCGGATCAGCAGTACGTTTGAATAGAGAGCTGTAACGTCCCAAGAGGAGATTTTGGATCTGCTTCATATTTATCTGAAAACAGTTTGAAAGACTTCTTACTGAAAGCATCATGTCTTGTTTACAACTCGGGATCGTACTCCTCTTCTGTCTACCTTTAGCAGGTATGTATTTACAAGTCAAACTATTACAAGATGACATTTAAACACTTGTTATGTTATTATATAATGTGTTAACAGTGACTTACAACTGAATTGTGTATATCTTCTTGAGGCAAAACAGGATTCAATAGTTACATCTAGGAGAAAACCGATATGTATTTAAGTTCAGATTAAATTCATAAAAGTTCAGAGAAAAACTTTGGAAAAACAGTGTTTTTTTCTTGCAGTAACCACATCGCTTCACTTTGCTAGATTGGGTCAACCTCATCCCACCACTGATGGCGCAGGTAAACAGAGACTCACACAAAAGTTGGTGAGGAGGAGCAATAATAGCAGTTGCTAATGCACATAGCTATCCCCTCATCCACATCAGTTGTTTTATTTCTTCTAAATAGGCAAAATTAATACAATGTCTCTTCAGAGTCTCATGGATATGATAGTTGTGATTCTCGGCTGAAATCACGAGTATGTCCTTATTGCTTAATCCGATTGCAGAGGATAATTTGATTAGTGCATCCACTGCAGGCATAATTCACGGCAAACCTTTCACACTCCAGGAAGACTAGCTGCTGCCATTAGCTTACATTTTACAGTCTTTTCAAAGAAACTACGAAAATACGGGGCGGCATTCAGGGTGAGATGAGGTTTATCCAACCTTGCAAATTGATGCTATGTGGTACTTTAAGAAAAAAAATAACAACACTACTTTTTAATGTTATATTATCCAAGATCTTTTAGGATTCCCACTGAGAGAAGTGTGCTTCAAACAGAAAAAAGTTAATCATCAGTCAACGATCCTACAGTGGCATTGCAACAAGCACTGAGTAGTAGCATACCTTACACTGTAACTGTTCATTTTGTGAACTGTCCTGCTCAGTACATAACTTGGTCACATTTCCTTAATAACAAAATGAAAGCATTCATATCAAAACTCAATTCATAATTGTTGATGATATCAGTCTCAGAATAAACTTTAAAAATTGTTCCTGTTGTTTCCCTCAGCCTGTTTGACCTGTTACACCTGTATGTTCCCGGCCATCTCTCCTCTGGACTGCTTCAAGTTCCCTCAGGAGTGTCCGGTTGGGCAGCGCTGCCTGTCCAGTACTGCCACAGGAAGACGAGGTAAGATCCTGTGTGTGTGTGTTTATTTCTGTGTCTGTGCATGACATCATATCTAATAATCTAGGTCAGGAAGATCACAAATTGGAAGACAAAGCCTCATTGTTGGGAACAGATTTCTGAAATTCACAGTGCAGTCTTTGCATATGTCTGTGTCAATATACAGTGTATCAGGACAGTTGTTTTGGATTTGAAGAGAATCGTGGTTATTAAGTTAAGTGCTGACTATCATCTATAATTAAAGGTGTTTCACACCCACACCTTAAGAACTGTCATGTAGTCATTTTTGTGGTTGAATCTCTACACTGCCCTCCCAGTGTAGGCAGAGGGTGCTAAAAGCTGAATTGAAATCTCTTATAGTGGTTTTGTTTAAAATCCTGTGTACCACGTCTGTTTATGAGAAGCAGCCATATTTAGTTACCTGCATAATTTGTCTGAGGAAAACCCAGGAAACTCTCCAATCTATAATAAAGCCTGTGTAAAATAACTGTTTTAAGTCAATCAACCAGATAAATCCTTAAATCATCTCTTTCAGAGCCAAAAATCATTGTCCACGTATATACAGTAAGATTTTTGTATATTGCTGCAAAGGATACTAGAATAAAAACGTTTTTTAAGGCCTTCTTTCATGCATGATCCTGTCTCAACACAGGTGTAAAAACAAAACAACACAGTGACTCAATAGATCAGATCTCAGCACAGTTTCTCATCCAGCCGGTTGTCGGTTCACTTTGTCTGTGATGCCATCAAATTATCTCTAAAAATAGATCTCTGAGCTCTGTGGGTGGGGCCAAGCATAGGGCTGGATTTGATTGTGGGCCCTCTGTGGGACAGTGGCGATTTAACAGCCTTGGCTTTTAGTTGTTTACCTCCTTATTCCTCCAAAGTGTGAACCAAAAATCATTTGATGTAACTATAACTTTAAGGTGTCAAATGTGGTCGATAAGAAACACTGCCAAAACGTACTAACATTCCCTTATGATTCTTTTGTCAATAGCATCAATGTTGTGCAAAATCTTTTGTAGTATTCAGTACAATATATATATTTGTAATCAGTATACCTAGACAATTTGAGTCGTAAAAACTCATTCTGTCTACACCTTATTCATATGTAATCACTACTGAATTTGAAATTCACATTACACCAAGCATACAAATGCATTACTTTGAAAACCATCCACTTCCCTCTTTTTGAAATACATATATACATGTTCATACTGCATATTCCAGCACTTATTTTCAGATCTTAGAATATCTCTAAAATAAAAACTGAAAATCAATTTCATTGAATGTATTCAGACTACAATACTTAAGAGGAAAAATGTAAAGTAGCAGTGTTGGGAAAACTGGGAAACTTAACACTGTGAACAATGGACTTTTCTTAATCAATTCATACATTTATGTCATTTATTAGGAAAAGTATGTTTTTGAAATACAAGCAGATTAATTAATAGGAAGGTTTAAAAATACAATTATGCAATATAATCAATTTAGTCACATTTAATGTAATCATTTACTTTTTAGTGGTAGTTCTCTTTTTCCTTTGATTTGTTGGAATATTTGTGTATTATCTCTCCATCACTAAATGCACCACCAATAAATAAAGTCCTCTCTTTTCTTTCGTAGGCTCTCTAGAAGTGACGATGTACGAGAAGAGCTGTGCGGTCCCGGCCCAGTGTGGATTGAGTGGACAGAAGTACGCCTCTGGACTCTACTTCAACTTCACCAACGTCTGCTGCGACAGCGACCTGTGCAACGCCGCCGGGACCTTTACTGCCCTCAGCTGGAGAGGAGCGGCTCTCTGCCTGCTGCCCGCACTCTGCCTGCTGCTGGCCTGAGCAACAGGGGTGTGTGTGTGTGTGTGTGTGTGTGTGTGTGTGTGTGTGTGTGTGTGTGTGTGTGTGTGTGTGTGTGTGTGTGTGTGTGTGTGTCATCCTTAGCACTGAATATCAAGGCATAAGGGTCCTGGAAAATATGTACTCAGTGGTGGAGTGTAACGAAGTACATATACTCTTGAACAGCATTTAGGTACTTGTACTTTACTTGAGTATTTCCATTTTATGCTTATTAAAACATTAACTCCACTACATTTTAGAATCAAATATAGAATTCTCCAAAATATATAAATTAACAATACATTAAGATGCATTATTAGAGATTAACAAACCCCTTTAATAAAGCTCCTCCTGCATCATCTAGAAATAGGCTATGTTACATTATGAGTAGATATAATTCTGGTACGTATGATGCTAATACTTTTTGTGATTTTACTTAAATAGAGTTTTGATTGTAGGACTTCTACTGGTAACAGAGTATTTGTACACTGTGGTATTACTACATCTTTTTGAAGTTAAAGTTTTGTTTACTTCTGAATAATAGTTATTTATTTACTTTAACAATCTCACCGCATCTAGTGGTTTATGATCACTCACCCCCAACTTTATTTACACTTGTGCATTGATAAGTTTGATGATTTGTCAGACTTACATTAAACTAATACAACTTTCAGTCTTTACATTTTGAAAACAACTATTAGGTGAAACTCAAAATATTTGCGATGTTGTTTTGAATGTGAGAATATCCTTTGTATTTAACTCCAAATGACTTTGAGGACAGAATAATTTAACTAATAAAACACTGAATTGATGCTTTCTTCTTATTTGTGCTCAATTTAATATCCACTCAGTATCGCTTTGAGTATAGGCCTACTGCTTGTATGGAACTATAAAAGGTGTTGTGTGCATCTTATGAACGTCTTCTTCTTGACTTCACATGGTCACCCCACATAATGGATTTAAAAAAAGAAACATCAGTCACATGTGCATTTTTCAACAAAGTATTTATTTATTGGGATTTTAATAAACGTGTCTTGTAAAGGGCTTCGAACATCCAAATACATTTCAGTTGTGTTACTAGTTTGATTGTTTTAATTGATTATTTGAATCTACTGGTTTAGTTTCCACGCCATTGTCTTAAGACTTTTAAGTGCACACTCTTTTGACTACATGATATGTAAAAGGACAAAACTAAAGGTTAACCGGGTTGCACGGGAATGTATGAAACAAACAGTGGCAAAATATGACTCTCAAAACAAAGTAAAAGTGAGAACAAACCAGTTAAAGTAACATTTTAATGAAATCAAATGAAGTCCCAAGGTAAGAAGTGAAAAGCTTCTCAATACTAATACAATAATACATGAGCACTGAAATTATTCAGACACTATCCCTTTAAACGTTGGTCCACTTTTAGAAAGTTTCAGTCAATATCAAATATACACTTTAATCTCTTTGATCAACACTTGTCCTCAATAACACCTCAAGGAAGAATGTAATTAAAATCATATAGAAAAATACTGTGCTCATACTAAAACATAATAAAGTCTGTGTATAAGATTGTCTTTTTAATCGTCTTAAATTGCACTTAGGTTATACTGTATGTTATTTTTAAGAGCTTCACTCTAATCCCAGAGAGATGATGAGGTCACAACAGACCTACGGTGTAAATCTTAATTACAAACATCCCACATGTTCATTTGCATAGATGTAGTTAAGTTAATAAAGGACAAAGTCTACTCTACACAAGCTGCCGTTATATTCGGATGAGACGTGTGGTTATTGTTTCCAGTTCTTCCAAGCAGATCAATTTCAAGTCACTTTAACAAAAATGATTTCAGACTAGCAAGAGTAGATTTAATCTATTCGACAAATTACAACACCATTTTCTTGTTGCCTCCAGATTCTGCACTCTGAGACTTTTCTGCTGAAAATATAGACTAGTGCAAGTGTGTATTATTACGCGGCTAAAAATAGTCCCCTGCAACTTCTACACAATCTTAAATGAATGGCTTAAGATTCACAGACTGGGTCGGATAATTCATAAAAAACGTTTGTATTGGACTAATTGACAATAAGAAAAACCTTTACTTTCAATTAATAATGGACGGCAATCTAAGTGCATTTTCAATTTTAAACATTGAGCATGTTTACATTTAACTTCCTTGTTTTCCCCTGATGAGAAACATGTAACAGCACGGGTCTGGTTCCCAAGGCGACCAGAGGAGGAAGTACAAGTGATTTTATTGCAGCACATTAGCAGTAAACGGCTCCTTCGGCCACACTTTCAAACGCCAACAACCTGATCTCTTTCTTTTATATAACACTAAAAAGGATTCTTCATAAAAAAAGAGGGCAACAGCTGATCGCAAACAAGCTGGGGGGGGG